GTGAGTGAGTTGAGCAGGGTGAGATTGTCACAGACATGAGTGACAGGCTGTGAGTGTTTCTTCCCTGCTTGGGAACATTTCCTTTGGCCTTATTTTGAAGTGGAGATTCAAGATCCTGCTTTGGGCCAATATTTGTGGCTCCTCCAAGGAGGAAATGTCTGTAGACACACATCTTGAACCAGATGAGTTGTTTCTAAAGTGTTTGTTAGGTTTATGACAGTCAAATACTTTGCTGCTCTATGGTGTTTTACGTGATGTGAGAGAAAAAATTGGCCAGGTTCTTTCAGGTACAGTAGAAAATTCTTGCTTAGTCACCTCAGTGAGCAAGGCTTGGTAGAGCAAGAGTCATTATTTTCACTGTCCAATTCTCCTCACCTAACATGAACTCAGGAAAAAAAATACCCCAAATGGATGCAGACATAGGTGTAATTGGTCAAACTTGCTGGAAAATTGGGGGATCTAGTCACATCAGCTATGTCACTCTATAAAGGAAGCATCTTTGTGTCTTTGAAGACAATGCTGGAGAGAGTTTGATTCTAAAGTGGGAAAGTTGCGTTTTTTTTTTTTTTTTAAGAGTTTAGTGGATCTTGTTAATATGCATACTGTTCTAAAATAAATTAGTTTTTAGTTCCAAGTATGGGATTTCGTCTGGTACTCTTCAACATGTTTGCACAGTAGTTCTGAATCAGGACATCTATCATTTTCTTGCAGTAGGTTGCAGTAGTATTTGTGTGTGTTGCTCTATGTGTGTCTGTATTTGGTGGAATGTAAAGAATCGTGGTCTACCTTGGAGGTCAGGGAGGAGAAAGTGTCGTTGTGTGGGTATGTGGTCTCTGCAGTAACAGAGACCAATCGGGTCTGTTTGCTTGATGAGGAGATGCAAGGACACTTATGTGGCAGTGGACTGTTAATAATTATTTTGTACTGAATGTATGCATTTTTTTTGTTTCTGAGCCAGAAATACACCTGAGAAAAGCTCTAGGAAGGTGGTACAGTGTAGACTTTATAAGGCTTTGGGTGGATGGAAAACCCAATGGAGGGTAAGAGGTCCAGGTCTGAGATGGAAACTCCTAAGGAAGGGTGAAAGGCAAACTTCTGCAGAAGGCTTGTGAGGAAGAGGAAGAGCTCTTTTTTGGCAAGAGCCTCACCATACATACTTTGTTAACAGGTTGATCCCAGTGAGAAAGAAGACTGTATGTCCTCAAGAAATATCAAACAAATACAATTGATCATCTGATCATTTCATTAAAGCATTTAATCAGCAACAGATCTGAATACAAACGTTAAAAGAAATTTTGTTGGAAAATGTTCAGTAAATGGATTTAAAATAAATTTGCCTTTCAGTAATGAAATACAAAGATATCGCTCTGAAAGAGGTAGTATTGAATATCTGTAAGACAGTCTTCAAAGTTATGTTCATCCAGTGGTGTTTTGGAAAAGGGCTGAGTGCCAATAACTTTGACCTTTGATTAATTTAAATAATAAATAATTGCTAATCAGGGGAAATAATAATAAGATAAAACTTTTTATTTCTTTAAGACCAACTCCTTTGTTTCATTTCACTAAAATTTAATCTATCTGCTTTTAATCTCTTTCAAATAAAAAAAAGAAAAAAGAGATACACTGCATTAGAAATATTAGATTTGAAGTTTTCACTTTGAAAACCACCGATCCCAGTGGCTTCTGTCAGTTTGACCCTTACAGAGAAAGAGATCTGTTTTCTGATTGGGACTGCATACAGAAAATATCTTTTAAAGGTTGGCTGACCTAACCTCCAAAATGCTACTAATTTGAAAAATATGAACAGTCTCCTATGGTTTCTTCCAAGAATGACAGAAATCTTAAGAAAGAACTTCCAGCATCCTGATGGTGGAATCTATTTTCCAGTTGAAAGTTACACACTGTTTCTGCCATTTAACTCAACTTTTTCAGTCTGAAACATGCAGGAAAATGTCTGAATCAGGCTGGGAAAATTCTGTGTCCAATCTTTTCATATAGGGTAGTCAAACTGAAGGGGCTAGGATTCATCTGTCTTGAGTTGAGGCACTTGTCTAAGGGTTCTGACCATAAGGAATGAATGAATTTTGGGTTGTGCATGATCATCAGCTCTTCACCATAGGAGGGTGGAGACCACAGGAGGAAATCAAACATGCATGGACAATGAAAACAAAAGATTTGATTTATTGTCTTGCTTGAGGCTGCAGTGATCTATCTCATGACTGCCTGACAGATACCCTGGACAGCCCTCCTCCATCTTTGCTCAATATTAATTAAATTTCGATTGGTCTCAGATATGCTACCCCTGTTTACAGGGGCACTGCTGGCCTTTCAAGGTTATGGTCCCCAGAAGGTCCTCAATTCTCCCCTACAATTAACTGTGCTGTTAGGCCATTTCTCATATAACTCACTTTTCATTTTTCATGGTGTTATCCATAATTCTTATCAGAGTGTTAAAAGTTTTATGTCACATCCAGCAATTTTCTCATATAACAGCTTTTAGTTTCTCACATCCTGTTCATTCAGCTTCACTTAGAATCGTAGAATGTTTTGGGTTGGAAGGGACCCCTAGAGGTCATCTAGTCCAACCCCCTCAACTTCACATGAAGGTTGAGTCATCTGGCTGCACTACGTTGTTCAAAGGGTGACTTCTAGTCCTATTTCTTGTTTGATGCTTTTACAACACGTGCTTTTTACATTTTTAATTGTCCTAATGCTTTTTCTCTATCATTTTCTAGTTTTTAAGTATTGTCAACATCAGAATGGACCTATTGAAGAGTTATTCACAGATGTATTTGTTATCCGTCTTCCAGTTGTTAAAGTCATATATAATCCTCACATGGTTTCAGCCACCTATAAATATAGTTTCCCACGCTAAGCTAGAGTTAGAATCATAGAATCATAGAATGTTTTGGATTGGAAGGGACCTTTAAAGGTCATCTAGTCCAACACCCCTGCAATGAGCAGGGACATCTTCAGCTGGATGGAATAAATCTCTGTGTAATGGGATCCATCTCCCTACTGTGTTTTTGAGAGAAACTGAAAGACTGATTTCTCTGGGACAGTAATCTTCTGAAAAAAAGGCAGAGAACAATAATGAGTACTTAGTGGATGAGGGTCTGGGTTACTATGGAAAGATTATAAGAACTGGAGAACAAAGCTGCATAGTTTATTTTCCCCCTTTTGTTTTAAAGAACTAAAGATAACTATGGTGGGCATCGTTTTTAAAGATTTAGTCAGAGTGAGTGGTACTTTTTCAGTCAGGTATTCTTCTATGGTCAACACTTGCAATCAGTGAAATTATCTCACAGCTGTAGGCGAATGAAAGACCCTCTGAATCCCCAGGTAGGATCTTGAGGGGTGAGCTTCATGTATTAAGGATAAGATTTTTACAGTCTCTCTACATATGGAATCTCTTTCAAATACTTCAGTAATTTGTGTGTGTAAATTACGCTCAAAACACTTCCAAAATCTTCACATAGGCAATATTTACATGGTTAAATGTGTTCTCAGTTTTTACAAAAATGATTGTGTGAAAGCTTCAGAAGGATAAAAGATATCTTCTAGCCAAGAAGGTAGAAAAGAGTCAGTTGTTGCACATCTGCAAAAGAGCATATCTGAACTAATCTGGAAAATCTGAACTGTGTGTTACAACAAACACATTTTCATTCATAGATAGAAATCTGCCATATGTAGCTGATATAACATATGGGACAGACCTGCCTGGTATCTTTCTAAAGTTTTTCAAGGAAAAATACATCAGCAGAACAAAAAATGTTTGTGCTATTTTATGTGAGAGGAGTTTTCCCCTTAAATCTGATAAGTAAGGCTTGAAATAAGATACTAATATAAAAAAGTCTTGAAAGTTCATCCACTTGTCCTTCTGAGACATCAGTGGTAGCTTTCTGTGTCTGAATAATGCCTAGAGGAGGCACTGTGATCTTTCTGTTAGCTTTTCATCTCCCATCCATTGCCTCTTAGTGGATCACCCCATGTAGGTAAGCACAGATGTGTGACTCTGCTCCCACCTGCTCTCATCTCACAGAGTTCCTTCAGACACCTCAATTTTTGTCTATCTTAATTGAGCAGCTATTATCATCATGCCTTGGGTGGAGTTAATTTACCTTCATGTAACTTCAGGTTTTTTTCTTTCTGCTTTGTCTTGTTTTAGGAGTCAGCGATTTCAAAGGTAGCTCACTACACAGTTGTTCTCCACTGAGTCTTCTGTAGGTTGAACATAGTTGCTTTCCGATCAGTCCCTAACAACTCAAGTGTTTTCTTGGAGCTAGCGTTTGGTTCAGTTTATAGCTATTGACATTAACAGTGCCACTATCCACTTGTTATTGTTGGATGTGATAAAACATATGTAATTACCTGTTTTTTATAACTCCTACTCAATTCCCTTATTGTGTCTTTGAAACAGTCTAAATAAATCTATGCCAATAATGAAATTTTTCACCATTTCATTTTCTTCTTTCTTTTCAACAAACATATCAACAAAGAACCTTGATACCCATATTGTCACTCATCAGTCACTTGTCTCATCAATCACTATATTCTGTGCTTTGCTATGAAAATGGTTTCAACATTTTGTTTCTTGTCATAACCAATCTTCAAAATACAGCACATTTTCTCCCCCATCCAAAAATAGGTCAACACATTTTTAAGAAAGTTAATCTGGGATTCCCTGGTGAAAAGCTTGTTAGAATCAAAACAAACAATATAAATCTATTTCTTCTTGATTAACTCTACACAATTGAAGGATGTGACTGTAACTCAGAGGTCTTGCAGTTAAAATATGGTATCCTGTAATAGGCTTGAAACACAAAGGTTGTTCCAATGGCTATATTGACTCTGTGACAACAAAAGGTAAAACACAGATAATTTTGTAGAGCAGTTTGTGGTGGGTTTTTCTGATGAACAAATATATTGGAAAGATCTAATTATTTCCCCTGAGCTTGGCATAATGACTATGAATTCTAAACACAAGCTTGTTTTATATTACAAAAATATAGCTATCTGCAGCCCCTTCTTGAAAACCTAGTGTGCTAAGGACAATACTTGGATGTTGCTTTTCAATATTAGAAGCTGAAAAGAGCATAATTAGGACAAATACTACAGAAGAATTATTTTTCTACATGGTGGCTTCAAATCTGCTGTGCTCATCATAGTTGTTGGATTGAATTTCATGTGGTTTCTCCTCTTCTGGAACCTGTCATGAAAATCAGAGAAGAGTTCAGTTGATGAGATATAGACTCCCTTCTGCAATAAAAGGAGACTAAAGTGCAGTGAGAACCCCATTCTGTTCGTATATGTTATGTGTCTATTTACTAACATTGACTGAGCCCGACATGAAGCACCAGTTCTGAATTCTGAGGGATGAATTCGTGGTTTTCTTAATAGAAGAATTCCTCAACACTGGCGTTAGCTACGAGAGTGCAAAATTAATATCTGGAATTTTCAAAGAGCTCTAAGGAAACAAAGTGACCATCTCTAATGAAATGTAAACAATGTTGTGTGCCAAATATCAATGTCCCTTCCCAGTACCTGATAAAGCTCACTTAGAGTATAATATTTCTCAGCAGTTCTACTCCTACTACACACCTTCAGTTGAGCAGGGCTGTATTATTATCACTGCTCAACACAGGCTGTGAATTCTTCAGCCACACTTTAAAACTTTCCTTTTACTGTCATTTTTTATCATTTACATCTGACAGCCTATTTCAGGTCTTGCTGAAAACCAGTACTTTAACTTTCTTGATGTTAAACAGCAAATGACTTGCAGAGCTGTCATTAAAAGTTGTTTTTTTCTGATTGTCCTTGCTACAGCTGAACTTTTGGCTTAAAACTTCCCCTTAGACAGCAAACTTTGTCTGACTAAAAGCCAAATTGTGTGGTTCATATTGGCGTTTAATTCATTACAAACCTAATAAAATCTCCTTTTGGGTTCTCATAATTTTATTTCAAGGAATGTATATCATGTATTTCTTCTTGTCTTGCCTTTTGGAATTTTTCCTGGCATAAGTATAAAATTCAGATTGCCTAAATTAAGAATGTCATCACTCTCTAACGAAGGGAGATGCAGAAAGCCTACAAACAGTACAAGGAGCTTCTTAGGTTAGCCAAGAGGAAAGGAATGCCTGAGTTTCTGTTCTGTACATGATTGTAGGCATCCAGCTCAGAGATATATGTGGGACTCAAGTGATCAAATCTAGGTCTCTATGGTATAGAGCTCTACCTCTGAGGTAGGCGATGAAAGATCTTTCATTATCAGTGGGGGTTATAGAGACTTTTAAGGTTTTAATTCATGTAACCTAGCATAGATCTGGAAGGATTCAAACGAATTGCAATTTAGAGCCATCTCTTTGCTGAGCATAAAGGGAACCTAGCAAGGCTGTTGCAGATGTACTTGTTTCTCCGTCCCACTGTTTGTGTTTTCATGCATAAAACAATAGTGCCAGGAGGCCTGTCTTCTTCTGATAACCTCGGTGGTCAGATCATTCAACCAGGAAGCAGAAGAACTTCTGCTCAGACTAAGGGATTCACCCTATGAATACTGAAGAAGTGCTCTAAATTTCATTCAGTGTGAAATTCCAGATGACACTAGAAAAGCAGCAGCATTTAGCCAGCAATGAAAATATCATGTGTCTCAACTGCAAGAAGGAAGAGGATACCTGACACAATGAGCACTTAAAAGAGAGACCAAAAGCTCCACTGAAGTCCCAATTCATTGGCTCTATTTCTGCTTTTTGTTCGCTTTTTGTTCAAGGTTAGTCCAATGTAAATGGCACGACTAGTTAGCAAGTTCAAAAAAGATCCTGAAGGTGGCCTTGATAAATTCACAGCCTAAGGCAGAGCAACATTTTTGAAAACTGACTCGTATGCAAACCACAAACCCCAGGAGAGCAGGACTGCAGTGTGCTGTACATCTTCCAACATAATGAAAATAAAAGGAGGTGGTGTCTTACCTCCCAATAAACAGAGTCATCAAAGCAGTTCTCATCAGATGCTTGTCCCAAGAAGGGCAGCTTTAGAATACCACCTGCAGGAAAAACAGCATCAGAGATTAAAAAATGGACAAAATGTCCAAATAAATGTTCCTCAGATGTGCCCTGGGGAGTCATCTAAGCTTTCTGACCCCTTTCCTAGTTTACAGAAATGCCTAACTATCTTGGGACATCGAGTTACTCATTATGAGAGGTGATGCAGGTTTCTTCATATCAACATGAACAAGAGCTTATTTTTAATTGCTCAGACCTTTCCCACATGTCAGACTGGAATTTTCTATTTCAGACTGAATTTTTGTTTGGAAAGTATCCGCAATCACATGGAAGCATGTGACACCTAAATGAATATCAATCTCAAACTAGTTTCTCTTCAGAATTTTAAGTGTCTGAATCTAGAGAAGATTTCCATCCAGAACAAAACCTTACTATTCCTATATATGCAACCCAGGCTTCATTTGAAGACAAAATTATTGGAAAACTGCTTTTCCATATTTACGTTTTCTGCCAGTGTGCCATCATGCATGATTTCTATTTTTCTATTTTGTATTATTCACATGAAGTTATTGATACATTGAAGTTCTCCATGGGCAAACCTCTAAATGCACATGTATTTCAGTTGCTATAGGCATCACACTGACCTGTCAATGCTCCGCCTGCCAGTGCCATTCCAATCGTACTGCCCAGGGCAGCAGCCTGCATGCCAGGAGTAAAGCGGACACCTTCCCTGAAAAAGGAAAACCCAACCATTGACAATAAAAAAATCGTTACACTTTGATAATTGATCTTATAACATTGGACTTGCTGTCTGCTGGACAAGATGGCTAATTGGAAAATATCCTGCCATTGCTGTGTACAAGACAGAAATCATTATTGTATTTTGGGCTATTTTTAGATTGCAGATGAAAACAAGTTCTTTGAAAAGGTTATGGGTATCTTGTAAGCCTTTAGCGAATGCTCCCCTTTGCCAAAAACACCAGCATTTCACCTTCTTGGAGTCTTTTAAGACAGTGGAAATAGCCCATTTTGCCAATTTTCTTGGAAATCTTACAGTTACCAGCAGTGGAGTTGTACAATCATAATAAAGATTCTTCTACGTTTGAATGGTTCAAATGCTGATTTTTATGATGGTTTTAATTTATTTATTTTTAATTGATTTTTTAATTTGAAACAAGCTTGGCATATAAACAGTGTTGTAAAGGCAGGATATCAAGAAGAGTCCTATTTAAACCAGAACAAAATGTCTGACATCAAATCAAAGATGCATTTCCCCCCCACCCCCAAATTATAATTAGATCCAAGGAAGGTGGGGAATTAGGATAGTCCTTCAAAAATCGACAAACTCCTTTCTCCCTTCTCTTTATAACTCACCTAGTTTCCTCATTTACTGCCGTTACTACGATGCCAGCAATACCTCCCAGTATTCCAGGTAAACCATGTAAATTATGAACTCCACAAGTGTCTTGAATCTTCAGCTTGGATGCCAGGAAAGGCTGAAATGAGGGGAAATATGGAGTTTATAGTGAGTTTATAGTCTTCCATTATCTCTAGAAAAAGAAAGTAGTGCAGAAGTCCAAGAAACAATTTAAGTTATTTTGTGTACGCAAAGTTTAGCTATAAAACCTGCTGTCTTTCCCTTCACTGTGAAATTGTTTATATGCAGAGAAAACCAAGTATTTACATATAATGGTACAAATGTCCATGCTACCATCGTAAATATAATGGTACAAAACACATGCCAGTCCACTGATACTCCTAATCTTTTTGGCCACTGCCGCAAAGGTCGAAAGAGGTGACTCAGTAGCACATACACGTCTGTTCCAAGTCTGCTAGTTGGGTATTTTCTTCCAGAATGTTTCTCCATCAGGAAATGTCAGTTTAAACACTTTTAGCCAGAGTATTTTGCTTCTAAATTTTGCACATGAAACACTTCCAGTTTATATTTCAAAAGTATTTTTTGATTACAGGACTATTTAGAAATTTTCAAAGGACCAAAATGTAATTAGTCCTATTTCACTGAAACATAGGCTTGGAACAAAATTCTGGAAGCTCCTTGAACAGAAATCCCAGCTTTAATGAACTCTAATATCTTCATGAGCCTTTGTTTTTAGCTATGGTGTCCCTGGTCACTTCAGGGGGGTTGGACTAGATGACCTCTAGGGGTCCCTTCCAACCCAAAACATTCTATTATTCTATGATTCTATGATGGACTGAAGTTATCTCATGAGCATATATTTAAATCACACTGATTTAAAAATAACCAGTGTCTAGAGCTTATTCTCGGTACAGCATCAGCCAGTTTCTAAACTCCCTTCCTAGCAAAACAAGGGAGCTCCAGGAAAGCCAGTGAAACAATAAGTAAATGAGAGCAGAGGTGGGTCCTCAATACCTACAGTCAGGAAGTGGAACCCCAGGACAGAGATAATTCCAGCAATGGTCCCAATGCACATGGCAGCAAAGGGGCGGATTGACAGGTCAGCGCAGGTACCCACTGCTACTCCTCCCGCCAGGGTGGCATTTTGAATGAGAACCTGCAAAAAGCATACAGGGGTTATATATGTGGAACGGAGGCTTGTTTTAGGGCTGAGTGACTTTGAAGGCTTTTTTGCATATAGGAGTTTTCCTTTTCTTCACGTGGGATTTTTTCCAATTTAAATCCCAGGAATTTAAAACAGGGTTGCCTGTTACATGTTCAGGGTGTTGGTTCAAAGCTGCTCTACGCCAGTTTAACTGGGGCCAGTTTAATGAAGTCCAACTTTTGCAAAGTCACTAAAACTTATCTGACCTCTCGAGAAGCCAGGCTGAGCCAGCAAGAGCTGCCTCCTACAACAGCAGCAAATTCTGCAAACTCATTGAATTGTGCCTGCTCATGCTGGGCTTAGAAAAACACTGCAACTGCTGGAAAGAAGTGCGTGAAAACATAGGGTGGGGTTTAGGGCAAGGAGATGAAAAGTTGGCAGCCTGGCATCCCCAACCTAGTTTGGCTTTGCCTGTTGTGCAGCTGCACTGTGAGATTCCCAGGAAACAGGGCATTGCTTTGAGAGACCTATTTTGGCTATTGCAATACAATAACTCACATAGGATCTTCTTTGGAATAAGACCCAAAAGTCCACCTGAATGTTGGACTAATGTCTCTATGGTCCAGCAGGTTCTGTGGACAAGAGAGAACAAGGGAACAGGACCATCACTACAATGTCTAAGAGCTTTTCACTCTCCACATGCAGTGATCCCACCGGGGAATCACCACATGTAGGGTGGGTTGCCTCAGGGCCCAGTCTTGCGTTACAGCTTTTAGAAGTATAACAGCTCTAATTTTGCCCACAGTATGAGCAAAGGCTCCAGATAGCTCGCAGACATTGGGAATCTGCCTAATCATCCTTATTACAGAGGGGTGACTCGATTTACCAGAGGTTGCGATGTGATTCTTACCATATTGAATTTGCCTCTTTGATCTACCAGGCTGGAGAAGGCAAATGTTACGACAGTACATGCAGCCAAAGAATAGTAAGTGTTTACAATTGGTTTCATTGGTTCAGATGCAATGGCAGAGTTAAAACTGGGCCAGAAAAGCCAAAGGAACAGGGTACCTAGGTGAATAGAAGTCAAAATGAAACAAACTATTCAGTCACAAGGGTTATTTCAATGTGAAAGATCCAACACAACAGAACTAGCGACAAGAAATGAGGAAGGTGATCAACAATCATGAAAGAGCCAAAATGCTGGAAGAAATAATAGATTATGCAGAAGCTTTCAACGTTGGCAATTGGCTTTTTGGCACATGGTTGCTGTCAAATCCTACTGGAAGACTTTAACACATTGTGACCCCTTGTCATGCCCCACTCACTGCCAGAGCTCACCACCACTGTGCAAACCATACCCGAATAGGATGCATTAGCAAGACAGTTCACATGCAAATCCTTTATCATCTATTGACATAACTGGCAGTTTAGCTGGTGAACTGATCTATCAATAGATCTCACAGCCAAATAGGTGCACGGTTTCTAACATTCTTTAGCGGGACAGGCACAGCACAATATTTTTAGTTACAGCCAATTTCTATGGATATGCCATTTATAACAGAAGATTTAACAAAAAGGGAGTCACCACTAATGCACGGTGAAAATACATCCGTAGTTTGATCTTTCCTTTTATTAAGCAAGGAAAAACTGTAAACATATGTGGGTCACTGAAAACATTGTGCATGCATCAGACAAACAAGAATATGCCTCTAGGAGTGTGCGGAAGAAAATGGATTCAGTGTAATAAGAGGCAATCATTAAAACATAGGGATGAAAGAGGGATGAACGACTGATCAGCACCCGCTATTACTTCACTTACCAATCATGGCAAATATGTCTGAATGATAGGTAGATTCTTCATTTTCATGTTTGTTTTTCAAGCCAGGACGATACAAGATTAGGGTGACAGCCAAACCAAAATAAGCTCCGAAAGCATGGATAGTCATTGAGGCTCCAACATCTGTGGCCTGTAACAGGGACCCAAAATAATGCCACAGATCTTATACAGCATAAAGATGAGGATCCGATGAAGAAGTCTGGATAACTTTAACAGTTTGTTTTCTATGGTAGACACTAGAACGTAGAATATGTAAACTGGAAGTATTATAAAGTGAAAGCATTTCTTATAAACTGAAAACAATTATTGCTAAATAGTTGTACCTGAAATATTTGTGTAACTAGGTGTTCGTTGCATGCAAAGACTGTGATTTCCAGAATTGTCAAGATCAGCATCTGAACAGGGCTTGTTTTCCCCAGGACGGCTCCAAATGAAATCAAAGCAGTTGCTGTACTGAAGTCTGCATTTATCATGCTGAAGTGAAGAAAACGAATAAAAACAAAACAAAGCAAAACAGAAACACAGGAAAAAAGAAAAACAGTTTAAAGAGGCCTGAGTTCAGGCTGTAATAGCAAACCTTTCATATCATTAAAGTGATAGAGCTTTAACTCTTCAGATACAAAATTGTCAACATTATCTCTGTGAATGAAAATTAAATCAAACCTTTCCACATGGGTTTTGTAGGGAACTTACCAGCTACCGAGGAAAAAGTGTGGAAAGGTTATCTCCTGCTTATATCATATATGTGCTTAGCTGGTTGAAATTATAGTGAAAAGTCAGATGAGATGTGTATTGCAGGTGTGCAGGGATATTTCCAGCTCTGGCTGTCACTTGAATGGCAAAGATGATGGGGAGCTCTGAGCTTTGGTCAGGTGGTTTAACTCATTTCAAAAGCCTGGCGTACCTTTCTGTCGCTGTGCATCATCTTCTCACAAGCAGGAAGGACCAGTGTTAACAGGTTATAGGGAACGGCAAAGATAAATAAAAGCACAAATTGGTCAAAAACTTGCAGCACAAAGGGGCACTAACTTATGGGTCCCTCTACAAATACCTGGCTGTAAGTACTAATGGGCTACTTATATTATTTCTGCTTGTCCTTCAGTGATGTTTGGATGCTGTTCCTTTCAAAATTCACTACAAGTTGTCTCAGAAAACAAAACTGCAGATGTGGAAAACACTCTGAGACCTTGGCAGAAGCAGGAGAGATGAATGTGAGGGGGATTAAAAGTATCTAGAGACATTGCTCATGAAGTCTCTTATTCTATGATTGGGGTCCAAAACCTATTGCAGTATGATGCTCATGTAAATCATTCCTTGAGAAGTAGGAGAAAACCTCATGAGCAGATAGACACACTGTTCCAGCCTTTCCTCTGTGCCCCCATGTGTTGTGGAAAGACAAATCCTTTCATACCTGATGGATGCAGGACCATCAATCAAATTTCAGTGAACTTCAAAGTCTGTTGTAGTTTATGGTGTCTGATATATTAAGGGATAGAAATGTCAGTTTTGGTAAATTCACATATACCTTTTGACATCAACATGAATTTTCCCTCCTTTCATGTGCCAAAATCCTTGCATCAGGGTTCCCCACTGGAGACCGAAGGCAGCAATGAGCATGTTGATACCAACACTGCTGAATCCATATTTCTTCAGAAAGGTCATCAGGAAACCAAATCCAATGAATATCATCACATGGACATCCTGAAAGACTGAAGGGAAAGCATGTCCATGTAGTGACTATAAAGACTGACTATGAAGGGAGGAAAGCTAAGGACAAATGAGGATTTAATAGAAAGGAAAAGAGTTCCAAACTCATGTTGTCAGTGTGATCCATCCTTCCCCACTTCATGACCAGTCTACCAGTTGAAGACTGGGTATCTGAAAAATGCAAGACCCAATTATTGATCTTCTTCCTTGTTACATCATTATGGAAAGAACACTAGGTCTCTGTACTAGCAAATTTAATGTGGCTGGAAGTGATCTCTCTGTGTAAAGCTACCTGGAACATCACAGATACCTGTCCTTACAGAAAAGTTGTCTTCCCCCTCAAATAAAGGTTGTCACATCCAGCGTGTTCTGGCTAATTCCAGAATTGTACCTGGGATTTGTTTGGCAGAGTGCTAGTTGGCCCAGGGCAAAGGTATGCTTGTGATCCCTAAAAATTACCGTACAAGAGATTGACTTTGCTTTTGGGTAAAAGAACAAGGCATTTAAGGTAATGTCTAAACTAGTAAATTAATATTGCTAATCAGCATATACTTACTCCTTCTCAAATATGCCTTTTTTTCAAATATAAATGTTGCTAAAACACAGATAGTTCTTTTTCTACTTTTTTAAAGGTTTTTTTAATTTTCCTTTTTTTTTTGACTTTTTAATACAAACTGAGTTTACCACCACAACATGGATATTTTATGTTTTAAAATATTTTGTTGCTCTGAAGTGTTTTATGTGATTTAATGGACTCCACACCAAACAGGTTTGAGTCCTGTAATTAAAGCTCTTTCTCTGATTTTATTGTTAGTAAGAATCTCAGTATAGAGAAACTATTTCTCTTCATTTCTATTTCATTGCCTATTACATGCAAATATGTGGGAAAAACTTGAGACATTGACCTGGTTAGTACAATATTTGGCATGAAGTTACATTTCCCAGTTACGGACTTTCAGCATTTCTATGGTTTTGCTATATGCATTACCGTGTTTAGCCAAAAGAGGGCCCAGAAGTGTAATGTTACTGGAGATTCCTAATAAACTCTGTTATATTTGTACTGTCATACTCCAGTCCTGACCTAGCACTGAAATACATACATGCATGTAGTAAGATCCTTTACATTGCGCTACACACTGCAGGTGGTTTGCAGACATCTCCAACCCTTTTGCTTCCTCTTCAAGCTGGACATTTTCACATTTATTTCCTGACTTCAATAATAGCCAGTGATGGGACTTTTGAGGCCCCTGCAGTCGTTTGGAAGCTTCCCATTTTCCTCCATGTTACTCAATTTCCAGAACTGCTATCCAAACTCTTGTGTTGTGCTTACTACTTATTTTAAAAGAGACACCATCAACTTAACTTCCCCATTTGGTCTTCTTGATGTATTAGTAGAATCATAGAATTGTTTAGGTTGGAAAAGACCTTTAAGACCATGGAGTCCAACCATTCCCCTAACCCTGCCATCCCACCACTAAACCCTGTCCCGAAGCACCTTGTCTGCACAGCTTTTAAATAGCTCCAGGGATGGAGACTCCACCACTTCCCTGGGCCCCCCCCCGGCTCTCCCCTCCTGTCAGGCAGTTGTAGAGGGCAATAAGGTCTCCCCTTCTCCAGGCTGAACAACCCCAGCTCCCTCAGCCACTCCCCATCAGCCTTGTGCTCCAGACCCCTCACCAGCTTTGTGGCTCTCCTCTGGATATGTTCCAGCAATGCAACATCCTTCTTGTAGTGAGGGGCCCAAAAGTGAACACAGTATTCGAGGTGCAGCCTCACCAGTGCCAAGTACAGGGGCACGATCACTGCCCTACTCCTGCTGGCCACACCATTCCTGATACAAGCCAGGATGCCATTGGCCTTCTTGGCCACCTGGGCACACTGCTGGCTCATATTCAGCCCTATTTTGTATTGCAATGCTGTGTAAAAATAACTGTCTGTCTTAGAGCTCAACATATTCCCTTGCTTCAGAGGACTTGGCAAGAGGTTAAAAAGATATGGCTGGGGACAATACAAACCATGCTAATACAACCCCTCTGATCCTACCAACAGCAAAGTCTTTAGTGTCTTAGTGGATGCAGAACCCACTTAATTTGACAGAGCTTAATTTGCCCATATTCCTGTGTCAGAGGGAGTCAGTGGGGGGTGTTTAGGAAAGGGATATCAAAGTACAAGTTCGTTTGACAGGTACATTTATCTGTGAACCTTCCCAGCTTGCAGCAGCCTGTGCCACAGGAATGCAGAGCTGTGGCTTCGTGCCTGACCAGACTGTGGTGGTGGACTGTACATCTAGAGCAACTCTCCTTCAAATGTCTTGGAAAACATATAGCAGTGGTTAGTGCCAGTAGGACTGAGAGTAGCTACCCTGCCCAGCATCTCTCTAGCACCACCCTGATGATCTCAGGTACAGATGATCACCCACCCTTTTTTTTTTTTTTTAAGTGGGACAAAAATATGTTCGCAGGTCACGTGAGAAAACTCTTCTCAAATAAGGGAAGAAGTAACCCAAGATCTCTTTCACTCTTTTTGAGGATAAGTAAGTGGCAACTGGATGCTGAACAAGTTTTTTTTCCCCCTTTTTAAAAATAATTTTCTGTGAGTGACCATTCGCCCAATAACCTGTAGGATCAGCACCTTTGCATTTGAAAAGTGGCCCGGGTTATTTGTCTGACTCTTTTAAAACTACTTTATTAAAAGCTTGTTAATGTTACCAAAAAAAGTACAGGACTAGAGGGCAAATCCATAAAAGCTGCACAGCAACATCTACAAAAGTCACCTTTATGTTTGAGTTTAGCAGAAGAAAATGCAAATGTATTTAATAAACGCGTAGCATGACCAGTCAAAGTCATACATGACCAACAGTTTTCAGCTTATATCGCACTTGTGTTTCATGCACAAAATGAGGAGTACGTTTGAAAATGACCTACTTCTGCTCTTTTTATTATTCAATCAGCCTATGCCATGGATCTTCCAATAAAGTTTTAGTTTGCCCGTTCAGGGTAGTCAGCTCCAGGTAAGAAAATTTTTCCAGTCTCCCAGGGGAGACTGTGTTTTGTTGGCATTCAGCATATTACTTGCTCTTGTTTGCAACCTCCTGGTTAAATCATCGCAGAGAAAGCAAGCAAATTGTTCTCATCGAAACACTCCCATTCATGCATACAACATCTCAGGAAATCATGTTTAGATTAGTAAAAGATGCTTTACTGCTTAAGTAACCTGACTCTACATGTGAGCGAAAGAACAGGTTTCAAAAGCACATTGGTGACTGAGGAGTTTATTTCTCAGTGCCCATCAACAGGGCTTCTGCATGCTCAGGTCTCTTTTGAAAGGTGCTTTTAAAAATCTTATGCCAGCCCTGAAAATTAGAAGCAGTTTTGTCTGAAACAAGCAGCTGGTTGATGTGTAATCCTGGGTCCTCCTGAGGGCTGGCCAGGATTCATATAAATGTTTTAAAGATGCCTGGGCTTATTTACATACAAGATTAAAAGTTCTGGTTAAAACTGTGTTAATTCATGGATGTTGAGGACAAATTTCAACTGGTCTAGCCTATACCTTGTGCTTTAACTACCTCCTCTGCATCCTTTTAAAGAGGAGTAGGTTTGGAATGATTTCAAATGATGGAGAAAACAGCATGATTTGAAATAGACTGTTTCAGTAACTAGTTGTGTTTAACAAAACATAGTACTTCTATTCTGTGAGACAAGAATATAAAGATTGGGGAAAACGCTCCAGCAGATCCTGAAAAAAACCACTGCACAAGGTTCTGCAAGGCTGCACAAGACCAACATGCTAATTCCACTGCAAGGTCTCTGCATGGTGGTCAGTCTCAATGCAAAGATGATTGTGGCATCTAAGTTTATACTAAAACTGTGATTTTGCTCTGCCTAATTGAGTAAATCATAGAACCCTGAACAGGAGGGGTGTATAAGTTTTACGAAGCCAGGAGTCATAGTTCAATCACAGGACGCTACATACAGGATACCAGTACTGAAGAAACCCTCTAGGAGTGCTTCCAAAATGACCACATGCTGTTGCTCTCCCATTCTAGTGGCACAGCACACCTGAAGTTGTCCATCCAATTTGCCATGCCTGTACGTGCATCCACCAGAAATAGATATAATGCAAAGCTATGCTCTGGGAATGATCTCAGCTCAGCCCCCCTTACCTGAGTGCAAAACTATGGTGATACTCTATTATTTTCATCTTTCGTCAGTCCCAAACCACTGAAACAGCTGGGATTCATGGTGCTGAGGTATTTAAGGAATATAAAAGCAGGCCCTGCACTGCAGTTCTGAGACTAGAAATTGCCCTGTGGATGAAACAACTAAATTTATGAAATACAGATGGGTTAACATCCCTGGGGATAGCACAGGGAGTAGTTTGAACCCATCATTTTGTGAACTCACAGGAAGTCCTGGCTCAGGATATGTCCTAATACATCGATACAGCCATATCATTAACTTTCTGCTGGGTTCTCAGGCAAACTGAGTCCTTGTGTGCACTTTGTAGACAGGGAAGATTGAGAGGAAGAGGGCCTAAAAGTGCAAACACAGGTATTATGGAATCCTGCATTTGCTCCACTTCTTTATTGTGAATGGGATCCATCAACTCTTGGGTTAGCATCTGAAAGTCCAACGTTACATCTGTGGTGTTTGCTTACTTTATGTCTCAACTGGTAAACTGAACAACCTAGCCAAAAGGCAAATGGCATAGGTTGGCTCACCTCTGCACAGTTACGTGCTCTTCTCTCCCAAAATGCTGTTCCCACCTGAACTACTCATTGTGAGTAGTCCCTTACCTATGTTATGCCTAAAGCCATACTTAGGAGGAGGTCAAGGTGCTGGTTTGCATGAGTCAAAACCATGCCAGAAGCTTGCCAACAGTTCAATAGCGTGGACAGCTGGGGGACAGTGTGCAGGTATAGCGTAGTCATACACTGCCTGTGCAGCAAGGTATGGGAGACAGCAGGCAATTTCTCACACGTATTTTAGACACTGGTGTTAGGGAAGAACTAACTATAGGTGAACCCTAACTGGATAGATTACATTTAAAGGCCTATATTGTAGCGTTAGCCTCTGGAGAGAAGAATCCTTTTTCTCTGTGATGTTGATGAGGTTCTTGCCCTCTCTCTGATGCCTTTTTATGGAGATATTAAATTAAAAAAACAGGGCTCCACACAAGGGCTGGGAGAGGGTTTTGTAAAGTGCAAGAACAGCCTATCCCAGGAGGTCCCCAGGGAACACAGTACCCATGGTGATGTGCGTGACAGAGGTGATCTCCATCCAGAAGACCTGAGGTTTATTAATAAATGCACCACAGTACTGTAAGGGGCCACTGAAGACTATTAAATTACTGGCATAAGCACGAGCATCCCATGCACCTTTCTTCATTTTCCTTGGTAAGGGGAACTCCAAGAAAATGAGGTCAATTTAGTACGAGAGCCAGCAGGTATGATATTCAAACTGGAGAAGATAATTTTCTCTGTTCTTGCAGGGCAAACAGACCTTAATCTGAGTCTGAAGGACCCATGTCCTAGCTAGCACCCTTCTGCCTTACCAAACTATACAAAGATGCCCAAATTACTATTGTTCTGTGTCTGTGTCTGTGGCTGTCATGTTGTTTTGAGGAGGAGTCAGAGAAGAGGCAGGTGGACAGATGTTTTAGGCAATAGCTCTGTTAATAAAATAACAGTGCCAGAGTAGAATTATCTGTGCTGTCAAATTATTAGTGTGGTCTCTTCCACAGCTTTCGGCTAGGGCAGCTATCACCTCCTGGGTGACAGTGGACCAAGGGTCCTTCCAAATATACCATCTAGGTAAGGCCACCTAATTTAGGAACTGGTGTAAATATGGACATGGTGTAAATATCATGGACATGGCCAAGCTGTGTGTCAGAAAGAGAACAGGCTCTGGTATAGCCTAAGTTTCTATCTCTTAGGGATACTGCTGCATCTCAGTGGGGTTAACCCAAATGTAAATAGTGAGTTTCTGATGTTCGTCAGCTGACTTGCATCTGGAGCTGAATAAAGCCGTGCGTTCACTGTTCTCTCAACTGGACAATGCTCCGTGTGAGAACACGACTACTAGCTAGTGAAGTGACCCCGAGATCACATTTCCTCTGCAACAGTCACTGAAAAGCCAGTTGGAATGAGGCAAAAAGAGGGATACATTCAAAATTACATGGATACTACATACAGGCAAGGAGTTCTGCACCATTATAATCATCATTAAGAGGATTGCAATCAGGGCTACAAGCCGTTAAGACATCAGAACCAAGAAAAGGAACAACAAACCTTCAATACTGCCAGAAAGACACAGGCTGCTCCTCCGCAGACTTATTTTTCTATTTATTTACAACAGTCTGATCTTTGCATGAGGAGGAGGAAGGTGGGAGAAGTTTACGGCAACTACTGCTCAGGCCCAAAGCTTTCTTGCTGAACTTCATCAAGCATTTGCAGAACAACAAATCAACAGAAACGTTTGCAGGCTGAACCATTACTGTCTACAACCGAGCAACTGCTTGGAAAGATAGGAGGAGGTTATCCATTTCATGACAAAAACTATTGCCCTTCGTGGAGTGCAGTTTCTGCAAACATATTTTGTAATGATGATGAATATGCTGCCCAATTTCCATGCTCTCATAAGACAACCTTTTGAAACCTGGATGATAGTAATGAAAAGTTCTGTTCATTTTCATTATTTGATATAGTCATCACAGGTCCGGCAAGAAGCACTACATCCATCTCTGGAAAATGCTAGAATTCTTCAAGCAATTCATATTTCTCCAAGTTTTAGCCTGCTATGCAAACACCAGACTATTTTCAGGACTCTTCTATCCCAGAACAGCTACCTTCTCAGCAGTTAGCTACTTTCAGAATTTTATATGTGCTCAACTTGAATTTCTCTTTGAAGCCTGCTGCTTTCACACCTCAGAAAAGGTTTGTTTGCCCCAAAGCATGCCTTTCTTTTCTAGCTATGTCAGCAGGTCTCATAAGTTATTAAAAAATCTTACTTAGGATTAATTTAAAGAAATTCTAACTTCTATAAATCTTAGACAGCAACACTTACATGGGTATAAAGTTTGAGTGTCTTTACTGCCGTTGTATTCCACAAATATCCCAAACAAAACAATGATGATAACTTCCAGAAGAAGAGCCAGGATCGAGAACTTGAACCTCATGTTGGTGTCAAGGGCTGAAGGCATTGCAGCAGAGCAGGAGCCTGTGAGAGCCTGATAGAAAATGCTTGCCTTCAGAGTAGCTGCCTAATTCAGTGGATCTGGGTGATATAGCAAAAAAAAAAAAACAGAAACAGGCAAACATACCGTCACACCCACTATGGGAGGGAAACAGTATGGGTCGATATAGCAATTTCTACTTCCCAGGCTATTTCTGTGCTGGCTTACATATTTTTTCAATTTGTCATTCAAACCAGCTCATTTAGGCACAGATACGCTTCTCGCTGTCTTCTACGTACTTTAAAAAGGAAATAGCCTAAAAGAAAATCTCACACAGCCTGGTTTGCTGTACATAGTAAGGAATACAGCAACAGTCAGTTGTGTTTCCTGTAGCCAATAATTTCTTCAAGTTGTAGATTTTGTTTTAAAAGGTAAATAATTTTTCATCTTGTATGAAACATGGATAATCTCTCTTCAGATAGAATACGATAAGCAAAGAGAAGCTCTTTCAGCAGGCTGAAGAAGTACTTGTTCTTATTTCACAGTGAATGAAGTACTCAGAGCACAAGTTCTCATTGTGAACTCTTATTTAAAAAGAAAATAATTATACTTCTTCCTAACAAAAAAGGATATTCCTGGTTGATAAAAAAATAAAGCTGGAAATTATTAAAAAGACAAATTCAAAAACACAGCTCAATTTTTCAATTTTAATTATTGCTTTTTGCATTTCCCTTAGCTCAGACGATGAAAACAGATCAGAGACCAAATCTCTTAAGTGGTTTTCAAAAGCTCAGTTTGTAAACTTTCTCAGGAATGAAGGAGCACATTAAATTTCACTTAGATTACTGTTGGATGCTCACTTGTTCTTGAGATTCACACTGCTTGTCAAAATTTGTCTTGACTCTTAAAAGTTTTGTGGATAAAATATTTTATTGATGTGATATGGAGTAATTTGGTGTCTATTAATCCAGTATTCAGAAAATAGGCCAAAATTGTATGGTAGGAGTTGTTATTTAATGAAAAATTTTATCTATTAAAAAAGGGGATGATATTGCAGTAGCAGACTAATTGGTCATGAAGTAGTAGTGCTAGGATACAGGAATAAAATGCTGTGTTAGTCCTTGGGTATTAAAACTGGCCCAATCTATAGATGCTGGGAGGTGATGGTACCTTGGGATGATATCCTGTGGCGAGACCACTGTTGGAAAACTGCTCACGTGCTTTGAGATTTAAAGAACTGAGGTTTTTTTAGGGGACATCTATGCTGGTGTCCCAGACAGTGCCATGCCCTTTTCTCTGGTCCTGAGGCTGATTTACGTATTTGTCAACCTTTAGCTTGCCAAGCAGGGTGGCTGACACCAGGCAAATTTTAGGACTGGTGCCCTGCTCATGGTAACTCCTGGACTAAGTCTGCTTGAACCTGCTGTTGCAATCTTAGGGAGGATAAAAGCCCTAGCACTCTTCAGTTTTCTAGTATAAAGGTAGAATCAGATGATTGTCCAAACTAAGTTTAGAATGATCTCAGCTTTTTCTCCTTGAATTTGGAATGGAAACCAAATTATTTAGGAAGAAGAACATATCACTCTATCACAGAATCAAACTTGCAACTGGGAAAGCTAAAATAAGCATAAACATATTTTTTTCTTTGCAGCGACCGTGTTTCATACTTGCTGTACCACAGACGGCAATGTTTGATTGTAAGGACCTGTGAGCTCCTTCGTTTGCGTGGGAAGTGATTAAAAAAGAACAAACCCACAAGTTCATTGTTTTTTTACCCACAGCTCAGCCATGAATATCTTGTGTTATTCATTACAAAAAGTTTTCCTAGTGAATATCTCACGTGACAGATGTGCAATCCTTATATTAAGTCCTTTCAGGGGTGAAGAAAAGGCTTCTTGTTGAAAACTGATTGGGGAAAGTACTTTTTAATAAATGTTTAAATTTTAAGATGGGCCAAATCAAGTTCATTCAGTCAGGACTTTCTCCGAGATCACTACTTTATATCTTACATTGCATGCGGGTACATAAACGCACACAGGCACACAATCTATACTGAAAGAGTATTCATGCGTGTCTTAGTCATGTTATACTGCCTTTGTAGCTAATAAGAAATTATGTGGATTTCAAGAAAATGCTTAGTCTTAACGCTTTTAAACAGCTGTCTTAGAAAAAGATGCACGATGTTTTAGAGATTCTCATTTCCCTTCATTGATTATAATGCAAATCTTTGCTGAGTAGTTCAGATTTAAGCATCCAAACTCTAGAAACTTGACTCAGGACCAGGCTTTTCCCCCAGGATTCTCAAGGACTTGCCAAATATGCTCATTTGCTCTGCTGTAATTCACAGTGGATGAAATGGGGATCTGGTACCTGAGAGTAAGAACAAAAGCTGTGCTCCAGCCTGATGTACCAGTGTAATTGGAACACACTGTCCTTAAGAATTAGAGTTAGCAAACCTCCCATTGCCTTCTTAGCAGACTGCCCAGTGCCTAGCTTTCCCTCCTCCTGTCTCCCCTTTTCCTGTTGTCTTTTTTTTTTTTTTTTTTTAACCAGAAAGGGCAACTTAACTATTTTCCCAGAGAGGTAAACTACTGTCCAGCAGCCACAGGTAAGTGCCCCTATACAGGGGTGATTTACATGCGAATAGAGACTCTGAAGAAATTATATTCCAACATTTACGTACTCCAAAATTTGTTCTTCTAAATAAACAAATCAGTTCTCTCTCACTGTTAAGAAGGCTTAATCTGTCAACATTTAATTTCAGATATTACCAGCTTTAAGCAAAAAAGACTGACAACTCTAGCTGCCAGGAGGAAGAAGATGCTTTATCCAGAGGGTGGAGTTGGGCTATGTTGCTCCTTGGACTTTTTGGGAAAACCCAGTTTGACCTGACTCCCTGCCTCACCTTTTGCTTGTTGAGATGGACTTTGGCTTGTATCATGTTTGGGTCTGGGGACAGCTTTAGGAAATGGCATGTCTTTTAGATATTCTCCTTAAACCTCTCCAAGGGCAGAAGGGTAAATCGCCATACCCTGAGCCTGAATCAGCCGTGGCCAGGAGAACAGTTTCAGCTTTCCTCTGCAAAAGCTTGGATTGCTCTTTGTGACTGTGACAAGATGCTGGTCTACCCCAAGCATTGAAAATGGCAGTTTGAAACTCCTTGTAGTTCATCGAAACCTGACGGGAATTTCACAGGACAGGCAAAAGGCATGTTTGCAGCATGTGGACTCCCCTGTCTGCCAGATCCGTTGTGCACTGGGCGGGTTTCTCAAAGACAAGAGTGAAATGAAATCACAGGAAGCATTAGGCACTGACAGTGACTGTCCTCTGTATACACAGCTCAAAACAGAAACAGCTTCATTTCTCTAGAGGAAAAGAGATTATTCCCATTATTTTAGCTAATTTGTGTATGCATGAAGTTCCTTATTAAATAGAAAAACTTCTACAGATGGCTGTGGGCCCTCGATCATACCATCTGTGGAGAGCACGAAATGTTTATCCTGTTAAACTATGAAAACAAGGTCTTGATCCCGCAGCCCTACATCACAGTGGAAACGTTGTGCATAGGAGAAAGTCAGCAGGTCCTGCATTTTGGCAGGATATATTTCCCAGCTGAAGCGCCTGCCATGTCAATGGCTGTCTGTCATTCCCATCGTTTTTCCTGATTGTCTTATTTCTGACAGAAGCTTGCCAGGTGACGGGGAACAGCCAACTGCAACATCTCATTTCAAAGGCCAGCAGCCTTTACATGTCCATCCGACTGTTGCATAGGGCGATCAAAAATGCACGCATCTTGAGCTGATGGTCTTCAATGTCTTGGAAATGTCCTTGGGTCTCCTTATTAGCTTCAGCGCAATCATGATGGCTTTAAATAGAATGGAAGAAGTGAGGGTGTTCTTTGATAAATGTTGTTGCACACCTGGATCTACTAACTTTGGATATTTGTCTTTTAAATGGCCATGGGGTTTTTCATCCTACCTTTCCATCTGATGGAAACATATGGTGTTGGTGAGGTATCACAGCCTTTATGTATATAAATGTGAAAAGTTATGGCAGACTTTCAAGCTTCCAGACAAATACAAATACGAGATAAAGGGGTAGTTTGAGCAGTATCCTTACCTAAAGAATGAGAAAGAAACTGCATTTAATAATCTTCTTGCAGAATGCCCTCAAGCATCATTAGAAGTGGCATTCACCTGACCAGACATATGCTATACATTTCTATATCTGTAATGCTTTCCTTTTAAGTCAGAAGAGAGAAATAGAAACGTCCAAGAGCAACTGTTTTAAAGGAAGATACCTAAAATAGGCTAAATAGGCCGGGTGAACTCAAGAACCTGGTGCTCAGTGCCCTTTTGGTCATGTTTGTCGGCTGACACAGGCTCAAATCAGCTTCAGGATGCCTCCTAGAAGAGAACTGATGTGGTCTGCTGAAGAGGCTGGCATTATTTAAACCTCTTGTTTCAGTTCACTGAAGTCTGAGCTATGAGTATCACTCAGCCAGTGATGTGCATTTATGGAGTATGACTTGGGTGCACATCTATCTTTAAATTACTTCTTGGTGTGTGCTCTTATTGTGGACATAGCCAAAGAGACCAGAGAGGTAAGACAAGGTGCAGCTTGCCTACACACTGTGACAGAAATATTTCTTAGATTTCCTGAACTTTGAGCTGAATAAGTTTTTTTGATAATGTTGACATTTATCCCATTTCTGTGATGTCACGGTAAAGGAGTTTTTTCATTAAACATTAAGTTTAATGCTTTGAGTCAGCAGACACCTACCTCACCTCAAGTTGAAAGAAAATAACCTTCTTAACCCTAGAGAGGGAAAGAACAGTAAGTGTGTTTTCTGACTCTTTGGATAGCAAGGGTAAGATTGTCTTGACTGGATCCATGTCAATCCCACCTGCCTCTTACCTGATTTCTTACAGATGTGGGGAAAATAAGGTCGCTAATGCACCACTAAAATTTTATTACAGGAAAGACTAAGATGTCCACGAGAAGAGGGAGGAAATACAATGGACAAATAGCAATCACAGCTTAATAGATAGATGATTTAGTTTACCTTGTTATTACAGGATCTCTTGTTGAAGTAACTATGTT